TTATTATTATTATTTTTTTTTATTGGAAAGGCGGATGTACAGAGAGGAGAGACAGAGAGGAAGATCTTCCATCCGATGATTCACTCCCCAAGTGAGCACAACGGCCGATGCTATGCCGATCCGAAGCCAGGAGCCTCTTCCAAGTCTCCCACGCGGGTGCAGGGTCCCAAAACTTTGGGCCACAGGCAGGCTTTCCCGGGTCACAGGCAGGGAGCTGAAAGGGAAGCGGGGCTGCCGGGATAAAACCGGCACCCATATGGGATCCCGGGCATTCAAGGAAAGGACCTTAACCACTGTGCCACCACGCCAGGCCCGATATATATGGTTTTGATAGGAACATCCAAGTGGTAGAGCCTAATTCCACATGGACATTGGCACAAGCCTATTGGGTTGTCCACCCACTCAGCCACCCTTTCTGGGACCCCTCTCTGGGCCTCTGAAGCCACAGTAACAATGCTGGCACCACACCATCCTCACCATGTTACACAGCTGATGATCTGCCAAGTGGATCGAAGCCACACCTGCCCTCCCACCCAGGAAACTTAAGACTTAAGACTGAAAAAGAAAGAATTCCCAGTCATTCTGCAGAGAGCGAGTATAAAATCTGACAGTGGCAAGCTGGTTTTACACCTGCACAGTACAGGGGTGGGGAAAGCCAAAGGGGCTGAGGAGGAGTGTGAAGCATGGATGAGCAAGAGGTGCCAGCATGGGAGGCAGAGAGAATCCCAAATACCGGCGCCATTGGTGCCTGAGCCTGGTGGCTCATCTCTCACCATGTAACCTGAGACAACCTGCAGTCCTGGTAACAGACTCCTGCCTTGATTGCCTTGCCTAGTGTATCTCCTGAGAGAGAGGCAGACAGACAGAGAGCCCTTCTACCAACTCCAACATCCTTAGGGCATCTCAAGTCCCACAGAAACCAAGCTTAACTCCCTTCCCTCTTCCCTGCTTCCACCTCTTATCCAGCTCCACTCTCCCCTACAGCAGATCCAAGAAGCAAATCAGATTAGCCTGAAATGCTTTCAAAAATAGGTCAACCATCCTAAAATCTAATTTGAAAATTGTATGCAAACAGAGGAGAATCACTTTAGAGAATTCCTATAAAAACTCAAAGCAGACGCATTTTTGTGTGTGGGGGGGGGGCGGGGGGCTTGCTCCATTAGCACGGTTTCAGTCCAGAGCCTCACAGTCACATCAAATTGATCAAATTGAAGAAGACACTTCCCATCACCAATATCCAATAATCTGCTGCAACCAACAACTATCGCTCATTTCCCTGCAAGGCCTCGGCTCATTATAATAGCACCATGATAAAACAAAAAGCACCACGCTTTGCACACATGGTAGATTCAGAGGACAGGAGGAGTAACTTGTTTTATAGATCCCGCTCTTGGGGTGTACCTTGAACACATAGTCTTGTGATTTCAGTTTTCTCATCAACACCCAAGAAAAGAACACCCATCAGGAAAAATTGAAGAAATCAAGAAAATTAGAGTCTGTTAAATGTAGATAATGTTGAGGAGGAGGAAAGAGGACCCAGTAAGCCAGCATCACCATATAAAGCCATTAATGGTCAGCAGACACAACCTACTTGAACTCAGAGGCTATCCCATGTGGAATGTCCCCAAGCGAGCAAGCCCCTCTGACTCCTGTGTCCCCTCCCTACACCAGTCCTGGCATCCAATGTGGTCAACTCTTCAATAATAACTGCAGTTAATGACAATTTTCTGTGTGTTCTTTAGGTGTTAAACCTGAGCTTTGCATACGTCATCTCAACACACGTAAGATCTTTAAGAAAACGGTTTATGAGTATGATCCCCTCTAACACAAAAGAGTCTGACAGTTACACAACATGCCAAGCTCACCCTCGTGATAAAGGAAGGAGGAGATCCTGCCCTCCCTTGCTCATGCTTCCCCAGACTCATGTACCAGAGAAGGCTGTGTGGACCCACATGGTTGAGGAGGACCCTTCATCACACACCAGAATCCTGCACTTCCCAGCCTCCAAACTGCTGCCCAAGGCACTTGCTCTGTAATATTTCATCACAGCAGCTCAGCTGGACAAAAACCTCCAGATTGGAACCATTCTTCCCCCGGCATGTCTTCCCGTCTGAGAGCCCTTTCCTGAACTCTCCGGGGACTGCTTGCACTAACATCCTTTCTGCTTTGAATGGGTAAGAAAATGGCTCTTTCCAAACGACAGGCATAGCTCTTTTGCCCGTGAACCTAACCAGGCTTACAACTTAGCCTTTGCAGCTCCAGGTCAAACTTGGGAAACCACCCTGGGGTTCAGAACGCATTCTGAAATGCCACATGCTTAACTCTGCTCCTGGTCTAAAGGAAACTATTACGTCCAGGAAGTAGGTCTTTGTCTCAAGTTCCAGTTAAACAAGGTCTTTATGTCTCACATTTAGGAAACACACAGCATGTGCTCCTTTAGTACTTTAGTATTATGTATTTGTTTTATGTATTTGAAAGGGAAGGGGTGGAGACAGATTACCTTTCTGCTAATTTACTCTCCCCCCAAATGCCTGCAATAGCCCAGACTGGACAAAGTCAAGGGCAGGAAGGAACCAGGAACTCAGTCTGGATGTTTCAGAGGTTGTCAGGGACCTGCCACTTGAGCCTTCACTCGTGTCTCCGAGCGTGCATTAGCAGGAAGCTGGAGTCAGGAGTGGAGCAGCCTGATGGGGTACACAGCTGTCCCCAGCACTGTCCTAACCACTGGGCCAAACGTCCTTCCCCATGAACTTCTTTTACAACCTAAATGCAAAGAGTGGTAAACAATATTGTCCGGACACAGAATATAAAAGTGAAGCGTTCTTGCCCAATCCATTGGCTTCCTTTGCCACTCCTGGCCCAGCACTAGCTCCTCCACCCTTCCAAGTGAAAGAGTGGAGCTACGGGATAACATGTTCTATGAAGACATTGCGCCACATATGACCGCAAGCCTTTCTTGGTTACTGGGCTAGGCTGGTCAAACTAAAAAACAAGAAACAGGAATCTTTTTCTCACCTCCTTTTATTATTTGTGTGTGTGTGTGTGTGCTGTCTTCACTTTCTTTGATTTTTTTCTTTTGCATTTTGATTCATTTTTGCATCATTAGTTATGAAAACATCAGTGAAATGCACTAGTCCAAAGAGAAAACCATCCTGTCTCCTATGTGGCATTGAGACCGTGAAGCGCCCAGTGGGGACGCGCCCAGTGGGGACTCTGAGATTGTTAGGAAACCCAGGCACTGAGCGGAAGATTGTATTAAAAAAAAAAAGTATGGTGGGAGAGAACCGAATCCAAGATATCACCTGTCCAAGTCAATAGTACCTTATTTGAGCAAAACACCTTCTTCTCTCCGCCGTGCTCAAAGGCTATGCTGGTCTGCTCCGATCAGGCTATGCTGGTCTGCTCCAATCAGGCTATGCTGGTCTGCTCTGATCTGTCGCTGAAGCTTTGAGGAATCTTTGCTCCACAGGAGTAGGTATGGAAGAAAGTCGGGGATAAACTGGACTAACACTCCCAGGTGACATTAAAACTTCATTTCCTAGACTCCCCCTCATAGACTAGTCAATAATGTTGGTATCCAAAACCTCAGCATGCATCACAAGTTTGGGGTAAAACTAGAGGATATGTTTACCTCGACTCTTTTAATGAAGCCTTCTGAAATACATGTTCCCCTTGCAAAGTAACTGTTAGGAAACCCTCCTTCCAAAAACAGAGGGAGCAATATAGAACAACATACAGAAGGGCATTATGGGATTAACTGATTAAACGATGCATCTTAGAATGAGACACGGGGCTTCCCAAACTTTTTAAAGAAGCCATCAATTTGTTTTGAACAAATATATCTGTGCCATATGTCCATACACAAATACACATATAGACTTGTGCACACATATACACACTTCCTATATATGAAGAGATAAAAACACTAGTTAGATATTAGCTTGTCCAACAACACTGATTTTAGCTCTACAAATGAACAGACAGTTATTCAGTGCTCGACATTAACCCAGTTCTTCCATCTCAGTTCTCACATGCTGTCTTTTAAGCAGGGACAAGAATTGTGAGCGACTTCAGTCCAGGATGTCCGTCAGTGACAATAAGGGCTCAGAGTGCTTGATTTCATTGAGCTGAAACCTAACTAATGAAATGCCAATGACACTTTTAACTGCTTTAACTGCTTAATCTAAGAAAAGGAGATGCAACAAGTTCACTCAAAGCTAAACAAATAATGAGGTTCTCCAAATGCATTCTTATTTCTCTCTCTCTCTCTCTCTCTCTCTCTCTCTCTCTCTCACACACACACACAAAGTAGTTGATAGCAAAAGAAAATTATAAAGATTACTAGAAAGTTTATGGTCCATTAAGAACATTCAACTCTAGTGGCTTTCAAGAACAAACTTGAGCTGGAATTATCATAAAGTCATCAAAAAGTTGCACTGTCGCATCTAGTAGCAGACATTTCCCATTATCTTGTTTCTGCCAATAGTAACCACCCACCCCAGACACCAACATGAGTGGAGATGAGCAATTGTGAAGGCCAAGTGAATGGACTTTCCTCCCACACCAACTTTTAGAACTGAAGCAATGGGTTCGTGGGCAGAGCAGGCATGGCCAGGCCCGTTCATGACTGGGGAATGTCAAAACTGCACTGTAAAATAGCCAGAGGTCTAAAACGCCTAAACACCAACAAGGCTGGCAGACCCCAGGGGTCACTAACTTTCATCTGATGATGGAGAATTTGCTGTTTTACCCTAGGTTTTGTCTTTGGCATGTGTGTTAGTAAAATTCAACCATTGACATATAACATTTCTTAGTACCACTTTCCTGCCAAGCCACTTTACCTGGTTCAAGTGTTCCATCTGTACTATTTTCCAACTCTGAGCAAATCAACCACTTTGACCTTCTTGCTCTAAAACACTGAAAACATGACTCGCTGCTTGAGCATGAGACTCCTGTACGCGTGGGGACCAGTCCCACGTGTCCTCAGAGTCGGTACTCACCTTCAGGGAAGGGGTGCGGCTGGACCACATGCAGGAAGAGGTGCACCATGCGGAAGAGAGCGCTGATGGGTCCGGGGCTGTAGACTTGTTGGACCCTGTACTTGGCTGTAGGCAAGGTATAGTTCAAAGCGCCAGGAGGGGGTGTGGGCGTAGGCTGCCCTCCAGAAACCAGACTCGGGCACAGCCCCAACAGCAGCAGGAACCAGAGCAGGTGGGCCATGGCTAGCAAGAGCCTCCACACTTGAAGAACTGGGTGCCTCTTGCCTCCTGTCTCCAGGAAGGTGTCCTGCTGTGCATAGGAGGCCAAGGGCCACAGGGTCTGCTGGAGCTTCCTCCGTTTCCTGGCTGAGCTGGGTCAGGAGTCATTCACTCAAGGCACCGTCTCTAGCAGGAAGAAAAAGGGCAATAGTGTGTGTCACTCTCCCTGTGACCAGCCTGCCCCGGAGCTGGCACCAAGGGCAGAGGATGCAAAGCCCCTGAGCAAGCCCTACAGCCTAATCCCAAAGGTGGAGCCACATACAGTGCCTGCGCCAGAGCCCCAGGGCAGTGGCAGGCAAGAGAGTGAGGACCCGAGACAAGCTTCTGAGGGGCTAGATTCGGGTGCAAGCAACGCCAGGCAGCGTAGAGGAGGTCTGGTCTTAGAGCCTGACATTGACTGAGCACAGAAGCAGAGTTCATTCTACAGGCTTCACTGTAGAACCTTGTTGAAGGCACTAGCTATTTCAGAGGAAGACACTGATGCTGGGAGGATTCGGGTATCACAGGTTACTGACAGTGAGGTCGGAATTCCTACCCAGCAGCTGGCCTTTAGGAACCCAAGCTCCAACTGTGACTTTGGAACACTTTGTCCCTGCAGCGCCTTCCATGACAGGCTCCTTCCAGGGCCACATGTGTTCCCAGCATTAGCCTCGGCATCCATTTCCCCTGGTCCAGTCCCTGGGAAGTGCAAGAGGAAGCAAGAATCCCGAAGACCGCTCCCGTGTCGGGAAGACAAGGGGCAGAGCGGGTCTGCGGGAATCAGCTGAGCCTCGTTGTCCTTTTGTCCCCAGAATCTAACCCAGGGCAGCGCACATGCTGTCAGGGGCCATGCCAGCTGCCAGGTGCCAGTTCACAAATGTGAGTTAGTACAGAAGCTATAGGCAGGATCCAGGATATGTATTCGCATTCTCTCCATACCCTGGGGTTTTGGGACACATTTCTGTCACCTCGCAAGTCAGATGCAGTCTGTACTTTCTAGCTCTCAAGAGCAAGGTGCCCCCCCAAAACATACACTGTGCAAAGGCACGTTGCACAAGGGATCAGAGGATGCACAACCGACACCCCAAGTCCCAGAAAGCTTGAGACAAGAGGTAGGGCTCTGGGAGTGCATGAAGACACATACATATTGCCTCATTCTCTTCTAAGTCATACCCCATGCCAACCTCGGCTGCAAGTCTCCCTTTATCCAATCACAGGCCGTTCAAATCTGAGTGGCTTCCAAGAGCAAGTTGGTTCATCACACATTTTAGTCTCAGGCTCCAGCACAGCCACAGTGTGTACCATAAGGAGGGTCTCCAAGCACCTCCCTTTGAACAACATCCCACCCACTCCAGCTTATCTTGTTTTTCCTTGAAGGACAGGCAGGGAGTTAAACAAACCTCAAGCACATCTGCTGGAAGGATTAAGGGCTCAGCTGCTGAGAAAGGCTCTCCTGGTAATGCCATCAAGCCCTGGCAAGGGAGGGTCGGGGGAGGGGAGAGAATGGGGCTCAGGGAGAGTTAAGAATAAACAGGCTTTCAAACTTTCTCAACAGAAAACAGAGAGCGCTCTTGAAAGGCAGAGACCCTACTGCCCTCAACCCCAGGGATGGCCATGTCAACGCTATCAGGTCCTTCTGAACGAGTATTTAAGAGAACATAGAAGCCTCGGGAAACAGGAAGCACTGTGAGCTATGAGTTTTCCTTGGTGGTGCTGAAGAGATGGTGTGAGTACCCCTCTGTTGGCCCCCACTTGGTCTCCGGGACCCCTGGGAGCAGCTGTGAAGGAAAGCACCAGCCTGAAGCCCAGGGAAGCTGGCTGTATCAACATCGTGTCAGCATAAAACGGATGCTTCCTTAAAACGCACAATACCTTGGGACTTCTCCCTGCGATGAAGTCCAGTACTCTGCCTGATGTCAAAGGCAGCAGGGAGTGGGAAAGGAGCACTGTTCCGCAACCGACTCTTCAACACACTGGACCTTATCCTGAGGTCGGGTCAGGGTCTCTAGACGCAGCTGGGGTCTGTCCCAGGGCCCAAGGTGCAGGGAGGATAATCCTTTGTCTGTGGCATTGGCATGCCACATGGGTGCTGGTTCATATCCTACCAGCTCCCTGCTAACAGCCTGGGAAAGCGGCGGAGGACGGCTCCTGGCTTCAGACAGGGTTAGCTCCAGCTGTCATGACTGTTTGGGAAGTGAACCAGCAGATGAAAGATCTTTCTGTCTCACATCTCTGTAACTCTTTCAAATAAAAACAAATCTTTGAGAAACTAAAGCTCCTACACCCATGTTACAGTGCTGTGAGTTGACCGATTCTACCTGCTGGGCCGCTCTCCTAACTTCTGTTATCTCCAGGATCTAGCACATAACAGACATTCAATTAAAAATAAAAATGCTCCCATCAAATAGTGGGCTGGGGAGGACTGGCACGAAGCAGACATTTTGATCTATCTCCAGGTCAGAGCAAGCATTTATTAGCAGACTTGCAGCTTCTGGAGGGGAGAGCACAGGTGGATTGCAGCCTAACCGTGGGCTTGTCCCTGGTTTTGTCCTCCAAGGCAGGCAGAAGATCCTTTCTGCACCAAAGCCACCTGCAGCCCAGGAACCAACTGTCCTACCCTTCTGGGGCACCATCTTCTTCCACAGCTGTGAGAGGAGTCAGCAGGCCACTGGCCCTTCTCCTGGGCTGCGGCTGCGGGTGCCGCCTTCCACGCCCAGGGAATTCCGAGGAGGAGAGGGGCCTGAGGAAGGTCAGTTCTAGACAAGTACCTCACATGACTGAGCCTGGAGTCGCAAGAGCCGCATCTCCATGGGCACTGGTTTAAAAGCACATATGGCAAGCAGTCCACTTCATTTCTTCTCTTGTTTCGATGGAACTTCTCAAAGAAATGTTTCTTTCTTTAAAGGGACTCTGGCAGATGTTTTTCATGTGGGGGTGCCTTGGGGGGGGATGTGGGGAGCCGCCTACCTTCCAGGCCCACCTTTGTGAGTGCTGTGGGGGGCAGCCCTGCCTGTCATTGTGAGGCCAGCTGAGGGGCTCAGGTGCATCCCAGGGGGTGACCCCACTTCCTGTCTCGTGCCCTGGGCTCCACCCACTTCCCTAAACCACTCTGTCCTTGGATTTCTGAAAAGTCTCTTTCCTGCCACAATCTCGCACAGTTAATCATCTACCATTTGTGACAAAGCACCCTGGGCCTACACAGATCCCTGATAGGAACAGTCTGACTATAAGTACTCCACATTTACATTGCTCCAGCAAAATATGACCATAAATAAAAATGGAGCTTTGGGAAATATGGGTTGGAGTACTATTAGTAATCTTAATTGTACCCTTAATATTGTTATAGTTTTATCAGAAATTGATGACCCAGAGATAGCTGCAATAATAGACCTCCTTGGCAAGTTATGCTGTGACTTAATAATGGATATAGTGTGTATGTTAGAGTCTTTTAACAAAGGTGACTCCATCCTCCTAAACTACTGGTGAAATGGGGCCTCCTCTCCTATCGCTCCTGTCAAGAGACTCCTAGGCGCACAAGCCCTCCCCTTATCACCTTTGTCAAGAAGCCACAATGTACGTAAGCACGTCATGGTAAAAATGATAAAGAAACAATTGTATACTAATGAATATGTATGTTTTGAGAATGAATATGCATGTTTCTTAGAACTGAGAGAAAGCAAGTGTTACTGATAGATAACATGTAATAACCAATCAAAACATTGTAAACAACTGCCTGCCTTGCCCCTGGATTTGTATATAAACCCATGCATTTGTCCCAGTCACTGAAGCCAGCAGGCTCCCACTAGACCGGAGCCAAGGTCTTGGGCTTCCACTCGAACTTGCAGGCTTCCACAAGGCCGGAGCCAAAGGCCTAGCAGACTTCCACGAGACTGAAGTCAAGAGGCACTCTCGGTGGCTTCCCCCATCCTGTTTGGTGTGTGCTTGCCTGAATAAATGCTTGAATGCTTGACTGCAAAGCATCCACTCTTGGCATTCGTTCGAGTGACCGGGCTCCGTGTTCGTGACAATCCCCAAGGTGGCTCTTGATCTCTTGGAAAACCCATTTCCTTTATATTTTAAACAGCACCAACCACGTACTACTTGGTTTAAACTTTGCCTGTTTTCTACCTTTCCTTTGACGTGTCCATTTACTGCAGGGTGCTAGAACACAGTCTAGCACAGAAATCACAAGAAAGTTCATAAAATATAGGGCAGCGTTTAAAAATAATAAAATAAAACAAAGGAAGCTACAGGGACGGCTGTTGAAACAGACAGCTGGCCCAGCTGGGGCTCTGTTGTTCTGTGGTGCTGGTAGTTGCTGATCTGGGAAATGGGAGGTTTGTGGGATGGGTGCCCTAGAGCTCCGCCAGGTAAAGCAGCTGGGCACAGGGTTAGCAGTCCAGCTGCCAAGGGCCAAGGCCAACCTCATCGCCAAGGTCTAAGCACAGCTGCACCCGTGGTCACTCCATGGTGAATGCCGAAAAACTTCCAAGACTTCAAAAAAAAACAACTTCAATAACCCACACATGTTGAATCGTGTTAAGTTGATGGTATTCGAATGTTTGATTTACACTCACCAAAAGAAAATTCACATGGCTCCACTTAAAATTAAAAAAAAAAAAAATTCATTGGGCCCACCTTGTTGGCCCGAGTGTGGAGGTAGTGGCGGTGGACAAGCAATGACCCCAGGCTGGTCCTTGGGTATTTCAGCAAAGCCAAGCTGGCCTCATCTGTACCCACTATCCACCAGGGCAGCATAATGGACGGGGCCAGCGTGGGCTCCGAGGGCAACCTGTAGCTGCAGAGGGAGCGACCTCCCAAGGCACCAGGCCGGGCCCCACCAGCCCTTGCTGCCGCGGGGGGCGGGCGCTGCTCTACCACTGCAGGACACAAAAGAATGGGCGGCAGGCGCGGGGAGCTGGAGCAACAGCGCTGCTCCAGAAGCGTCCGCTTTGGTTCCCGGCGGTGGCAGCCCGGTAGGGCAGGGATTTAGGGGCGCCCCCGCCTGATAAGGGCACCCAGAACCA